CACACACACACACACACACACACACACACACACACACACACACACACACCTTTTAAAGGATGTCAAATATTGTTTGTTCTCCTCTGTAACTGTTTCTTGTGTTTAGGTCTTCATTCAAAACAAGGAAGAAAAGAATGAGTTGCTGATGTATATTAGAAAGTCTAAACTGTGTTTTTTTACCCCGGTACCCATGAAACACACATTCAGTAAAAACAAATGAAATAAAAAAATGTAAAAGCCTGACAAGTACATTCCATTTCTCAACAGCTGGAACTTTAATGTTTGAGTCAGTGGATCCAGAAGTGCACTTAACATTACATTAATGTTTGGTCATTGTCATTATAAAACCATAAACCACCATACAAGACTTGTGTAAACATTGCTGTGGATTCTGTGACTGTAAAATAGTGAAGTAATGATTCCACAGGGATCAAGTGTGTTTTAAAACAATATGAATCAATAAAAGTCAATGTTGCTATGTGAATGTGAAACGTAAAATACCCAATATAAAAGAAAGATGACTGCATTGAATAATGCCAGTCCTGCTTGTACTGATGTGTTACTTATCTCTGTCCAAGATATTCATATATGTTTCTTACTTAATTACAAAACTGTATGCACTGAACAACTGCCTTGGTAAAACAAACATACTCTGTAGCACCAGAAGGTTTAAACTAATCATGCAGCAAATCGTGTTGCCTTCCTTCTTGTTGTAAAAAAGGACTACTTCAAGAATTTGGGGGATAAAGTCCATTTTTTGTGGAATCCAGTGCAGCCACCATTGCTTTGGTATTACATCCTTACAGTATGGCCATTTTGGATGATTCTCCTCAGAATCCCCTAAACAGAGGGGCTAGCCGGCCATGCTTTGTCCTATGTTCTTATTGCAGCGATGACTCCTTGGTTGAGGGGTGCTGGTGATGAATGGAAAAGAAACACATGGTTAGCCATTTAACAAAGAGACTTCTTTACATGTTAACATTATATCTCTAACACATTTTCACTTTTGAATGACTCAAACTATCTTTTTATTTTTCATTGGACTGAGTTGCTATGGAGACTTAAACTTGGTGTAGTCTTTGATGCATGTTATCTCATTGCTTTTTTTAAAGTCTTTATTTTTAAGTATTCACATCCTTTGCTAATGTAGTACACTGTAAATGATTCTTGTTGTCTTCACAGTAATGTAACTGTATTCTCTAGTTTCTCACTGTAGAAGCTAAAGGTCACTGTACGTTTTTAATGCTGACTGACAACCACAAACCTCCATCTTCAGATGAAAGGCTGCCCTTAATTTCAGAGCAATATTTTGTATTTTTGTAAGTTTTGACATCAGAGTTCAGAAACGTTTCCTTGCGACAGACTGAAGGAGGTTTAATGGATATGGCTAGGGTAGGAACGTAGCTTTGGTTTCATCAAATCACTCGCTAGTGTCTGCTTACCAGGAACCTGCTCGATCATTAATATCTGGTGAGTGGTGAATCTTGATATTTGTTTTCAAACAAAAATTGGACATTACATAACGTTAGCCTAGAAGAACTACCTGTGACTCTGATGTTCTGTAACGTTACCAATAAATAACTGCTTATGTTAGCGTAGCATAGCATGTCATAACATGACACAGTTGATTTAAAAACGTTTGATAGTATATTTAGTCTGAAGACCAAAGTTAACTAAATGTTCTCTGTTATTTAATGGAGCCTTGAGTTTAGCTTTGAATGTTTGCATGTAACCTTAATCTTAGCAGGCAGTCTTTTTGATTTGATTTTGACTGGTTTTGCTGTTTTCTTTCGTCCACCAGGTGGCATCAGAATAACCATTATCACCATAGCCTGGCCAAGTAAGGCCCACATAAACTAATGGCATACAAGCCTATTTATACATTACCTGTTATTTACTTGTGTTTTGATCTACAACCTTAATCTGAGAAGTAACTAAAGCTGTCAAATGAATGTAATGAAGTATATAGTTGCAGGAAACAGAAATAATCAAGTCGAGTAAAAGTACCTCAACTTTGAGTAACTGTATTCAGTTATTTCCCAGCAGTGTGAACCCACAAACCGACTAATGGGAGACTCTTCCAGATGGAATGTGTAGAACTATTTAATTTGAGAATAACTGATCAGTGATAATGAGAGGTTACTATAATCCAAACATGTACCTGGTTTTCCGCAAGCCTTAACACACTGCTGATGCGTGTCAAAGCGGTTCTGGTTCCCACCGCAGCCTCCATACCAGAAGCGCGTGCAGCTCTTGCTGGAGGCATCGAAGTGCCACTTGAGGACAAATTTGGCACAAGTACCTTCCTCTTTGGGAAGCTGGCAAATGTCCACGGCTGTAGAGTCCGCTGTGAGAGAAGTGACAAATAACAATCAATGAAAGGATGAGAACACAAACTAATTGTTCACTGAATTGTTAAAAACTGAATTGTTAAAGCTGGACCCCATATATTTCAATTCCTTAAGGATTTATTCTTTTCCCCGTGAAGGCTTGCCAGAAAAGCTATGTTTTCTTTATGACCTTCAGGTAATATGACCTTCAGGTAACACAGGCTGAGTAATGGCAAATGGTCACGTTATGGGTGAAGTATTCCTTTAAATATAAACAACACTATGTGGTGCAATCAGCGGTAAATATACTATTACCATTATACGTAATAACTTGTAATGAAGAGATGATGGCAGCATTTTGCCAGTGAGCTGTTTGTGTTGTGGAATGGAAATCGATATTGGAATCAACTTTGTATTACTGTCATTATCTTGTGCCAATTAACTCCAACACTTAAGCAGTACCAAGAACTTGAAACAGCTCTGAATGAGGACTGCTGCCAAAAAAAAACAGCGAAGAAGGCTTTCCATTTATTTTCTCTAGCGCACTCCTGTGACAAAAGCATAACCTTCTCAGTTTTAAGGCTTGGCTTTGCGATTGTTCTGTCAGTCATTTAGACCCTCTGACGGTCAGTGGAGGAAGTTGGTGGGTTTCCAGTTGCATACAAAGGATTTATTGTTTAGTGAATTGAGCACAGTTTGTGAATCAAAGTCAGTTATGCCTTCAAAACGGGGAAGGAACAGTCATATAATACTCTTGGCCGACAGAAAGCTAGTCATGTTATTCAATGAGTGTAGATGAGATCTCACCAGGAGCCGGGAGGATCTCCACCTGTTCAACCTGCTGCACCTTTGGCTGAGGCTCTGGCACTGGAAACATGAAAGCATAAATGTGGTTTAATTAAGAAACAGACTTTTCACCAGCAGGAAAACTATCAAGAGGATTTTCAACACACTGCAATGTGGATTTAAATGACCAAAGATTACTCAGATGTAATCCTCATCTGTAACGAATTATGCACCGATTTATGCACGGATTATGCATCGGTAGTTTGCTTTTCTTTTCCTACTTTAATTTCCCAGCATACTTCTACTTCAGTATGAAGACGCAATCCACATTTTCCCAATACCTGATGTGATAAGTGAAGATTTTTAGGAAAATTAAGGAGTAAAATTCCTTAATCTTACATGCTAAGCCTTGCTCCCTTAATCATTTAATGTTGGAAATGTGCAGTCATTTTTGAAACAATGGGTCTTTGATTTTGCGCAAAAGCAAACAAAGCACGTGTCTCAATTTAGCCAACACACATGGATTTGTTTCGCTTGAAAGGCCAACTGTTGCTAGTAGATTTGATCAACTATAGCTAGCCAGCAGAAGCTAATGCCAAAGCTGCAGCTTTGTAAGTCGGTTGAAAACACACAAAGAGTCTTAAATATGCATGTGTTAGCTACAGACATGATAACGTGCTAAAAGACGTGTGAGCATCCGCACCAACTGGTGAGCCATGTGGGAGGCACGGAAACAAAGGAACAGAACTGTTTGTGTACTTACGAGTACAGACAGTTATAGTCGATATAAATAAATTGAAAATTGAAATGCTATTTTTGTCTTACATAATTGTTGGATGGTTAAACAGCTTACTGTAGAAAAACACGCCTTAACAAGCTAGGTAGTGGCTTGCTTTGAGGTTTCCATTGTTAAAACAGTATGCTTCACTTTTACAAGAGAAAAGGTTTCGAGAATGCGGAAGAACTGATGAGTTTGGCAAATTTTACAGTTTATTCTTTCCTCCTTTGTTTTTCTTTTTTCTTTTAGCGAACAGTCTTTGTAGGTTTTGAATCTGGACTTCAATTTCATACTATGCTGCGTTATATCACGCCATCACACCAGGCGGCGTCACATTCCCCTCAGAGGGCCTGGCACTGATGACAACTTACCTGACCTCGTGCAGTTTTTCAAGCAGAGGGCCTCAGTGTCGAACCTATTGTCATTGCCTCCACAACCTCCATACCAGAACCGGGTACAGATCTCGTTCATTCTGTCAAAGAACCACTTAGCCTGATAGTCTTTGCACGGCATTCCAGGGTCATAGTCAAGTGAGCATGGGTCTGCAAATTCATTGACTAGAACATGCAAAAAGAAAAAGAACAACAGCAGTGATGGACGACAGACAGAGAGAGAGAAGATGAGTTTGTGTTAAGATTAAATGAACAACTATATGAGGCATACAGCTGCTACTGAAACAGGTCTAATGGAGTTAAACGAGTCTTAGAGCTGAAATAGTTCATTCTCATAATGCAAAGAGAACAGCATTCAAAATGGCACAACATCCTTCAGAGGGATTAGGCTACTGGCGTTATTAGGAGTTTGGACGTTCAGAAATGAGGCAGTCAGTAGAAAGAAAGAGGTTGGAGTGTAGGTTTTCATTGGTGAATTAGAAAGTTAGTTATAACTACAGCTACTGTTATGTTAGTTCATTTCAGTTATAAGATCTACATGGCTGTATTGTCCATGCATGTGACCAATCCCAGAAATCGACCCAGAAATATGTCATCACAGCTATTTATGATAAAAACAATCCATCAGCTGAATTGTCTGTTAATTCCTTTCTGGGACAGTATTGTGTGAACTGCAGGGTGCAAATGAAAGCAGCTCACACTGGGTTATCAAAGTGGAGCACTCCCTGACAACTTTTTAAAAATGAAGACAGCATTGCCGCCCTTATAATCACAAATTAATGATACTCGGGAAGGTGATTTTCGGCCTGTATATGTTCTCATATCCCAGTTATGCCTCAAGTGTACTGTCTTCTAAGAAACAGCAGCTGTAAGGCTTCACTCCTAAAATATACACACACTCTGTAAATCTTCTTCATTGCTTCTATTTTCCCCACTAACAAGAGGCATTTTTCTCCAAAGTGACGCGGAGAGTGCAACCTCGACCCTTTTGTTCGTCCCAACATTTTAAGAGAAAGATTAAATCAAACCAAGACCCTGTGAATTTGAGCAGTAGATTTGGCACGTTTTCTTGAATGACTCACACGATATCTTGGCATGTAGGCCTACCAGGGAGTTAATTAAAACGCCCCTTGTGGAGTGTTTGAGTTGAAATATTGCTGCATTACAGCATCTCACTTTTTTGCATTTATGTTCTTTCAGTTAAAGCATCAGGGATTATTTATATGACTGACACTCTGCCTAGGAAACATTGCCAAATACAAACACACCTGCATCAGGTAAATATTGAATGGATTTGTGCTGAAAGTTCAAAGACTGCTAAATAACAAGTTATGCAGGTTAAAAATTACAGAATAAAGGTCAGAGCAGAAGAAAAAAAAACATTATGTACACTCCAACACGCACGCATATGTATGAGCGATCACTCACCAGTTTGTGGTTTGTCCAGCGGTTTGGTATTTACAGTCCTGGGGCTGTGGTTGGCTGGCTTATGCTCTGGCTTGTGATCTGCTGCTTCTGTGAAACCATCAGTGAAACCATCAGTCATGGAACAGTTTTAGCTTCACTTAGCTTTTGTTTATGTATTTGCATCTAACCCCCCAACCCCCCCCCCCCCCAAAACAAACAAACAAAATAGAACGCAGTAAAGGAGTAAAAAAAGGATCACGGTGTTTTCAAAGAAGAGAGAAAATACACACTTTTGTAGATGCGTTTATGGACTTACTGGTAGTCATGATGCCTTTGCGGGTGGAGACAGTTTGACCCTCTGCAGTGTGGGCGGTGACCACAGCATGGTATGTTTGGGCACTCTCTAAGTTGTCCACGGAAAGCTCTGTGCCCGACACGTTGGTCTTCAGCACCAGAGCGTGGTCATGCAACCGCGTCACCACAACCTCAAAGTAGACGAAGAGCTTGAGGTCTGGGCTGGTCCAACGCAATTGCAAGCTGCTGGATGTGACGTTAGAGACGTGCAGCTCATCTGCATCTGGGGGGGGGGGGTAAAGCAGTGTCATGTTAGGACGATGCACAGTAAATTCACTTGTTGACACTTTGCAGAAAACAACAGTTGGATAGTAGCTGTTGTGGATAAATATCAGTGTGACTACGATAATGTAATTTTTCGTGTCGAGTCCTGATTTTAGAGGTGATTTTTCAACACAGTTAGCATTTAGCTATGCATGACTCACATTGAAGAAAAACAGTAACAACCCGTCCACATCCTACTTTAGTACATCTGCACTTACCTTTGTGCTTTCTTTGATGAACTGCTTGGTGGTTTTCATGATGTTTCTGATGTTTCCTATAAATGTACCAATAAATAGCAAATTAAACCATCAATGTTTCCAACAAATTTACAGAAACCAGTGACTTGGCTTAAAATATTAATAATAACTTACTCCTGTTGTTGTGATGATGTAAAGGGGTTTTTAAGTGGTTGGTCACTCTGGAACCACTTGCAGTTTTTGGAGACTTCAGGAGACATGTAGAAAGCATTTTCAACTGAAAAGAAAAATAACATAGAACACAGGATGTCAGGTTTAGCTAATGCAATAACTGGCATCAAGCCTAAACTAGTAAGTATAAAAGTGTTTGCAAAAAGGCAATCCAACCGATTGATTGAAAGGTATCCAGCTTGGACTTACTGCTGATATACTTTGGCAAAAGCTGGCCGAAGGTCTGGATGTGTTTGTCGTAAAAGTGTGAGACGCTGTCCAGCCGCTTGAAGAAGACATCTGACGGCTCACTGGCCATGCGTGACAAGACACGGGCGTCTCCAGCACTCAATTTCTGACCCACACCCACGATGACCAGGAAGTAGCCTCTGCACTTGATCTCAGTGGCAACATGCACCAGCTGCTCCTCTTCTTTTTCCACACTCCCTGTCACAAAGAGCATCAGCACTTTCCTGTCACGGTGGAGAGGCGCCTTCTCAAACACCTGCTCCACTGTCGATTCGATAGCCGCTGCCAGTGCCCGGCCACCCTCTAACTGCGGTGTCTTCTCCAGCAGAAATTTGACAAAGTCCTGAGCTGAGTGGTGCTCGGTCAAACCAATATCCACATGGATGGGGGAGCCAGTTTTGTTGTGGATGAACCCGTAAGGTGCTTGCTGGATCACGGACACCCTGGCGTGGTTAACGGATGATGTGGGATTTGACGACACTTGGAGATGCTCCACTATGTGCGCGATGTAACGCTTAATCTCGGTAAAGACTGTTGGGTAGGTAGACTCAGAGCTGTCGATGACGAAAGCCATGTCGATGTCCACGTCTGTGGTGGAAGACCTCCGATCTCGACTGGCCAATGGGGGAACATAGTCACACATTCGGTCCGGAGAGCAGATGTCTGAAAAAGGAAAACACATAATGCATTCTTACTGTCATTGCTACAAGAAGGTAATGCATTTCTAACTATTAAAAAAATATATTGGGATTCTGTTTAAGCGAGTGTAGTACCCTGGGATGTCCCACAAGGTTAAAATATACTATGATTGGAGATAACCTTTCAGCATTGTATCTGTGTTTACTGTGTTTTTAATATTTACATGGGATAAAATAACGAATAATGCAACTAATAATAATAAAACAACTATTGCTTGTGTGAAACAACACATCTGGTTTAAAATCTGATCAAGACAATCTTTAAAAAAGGGTATTTTTCAGTGAAAATGTGAAAGAAATTGTACATTATAATAATGATAATATTAATAAAAACAATAAGACATAACTGTGGTGATATTATTAGTGCATAAACATAGAACTCTTACCTAGGCAGACATGGCAGTTCATCACCTTCTGAATGACTGAGTTGTACTGTGCACTTCCAGCGTTGGGAAGGACAATCACTTGAGCCAGTGCTGTGTTGTTGACCTGGTACATGAAAAATATTTAAATACAATACACACTGTCATTTTCTTCTCTGGAAACAGACACTGTGCATATGCCTTACAAACAGATGTACTTCAAAGTTCCCCTATGAGTTATAGGTTTGTGGGTTTACCTGCAGTGCTCTGCTGAGAGCTCTGTCCTCGCGAGGGACCAGGAACAGAGTGGCGATTCCAGCGTCATGGAGGCGAAGAGCTGCATTGGTAACTGCTCGTGCCTGACCGACTGTTCCGCCGACAAGGAAGATGGCCACCTTCCTCATGAGAAAGCCGCTGCGCACTCTCTTAAAGGTGTTCTGGGCCACAAAGCTCATGGCCGTCTCCAAGCTGCGCTGCTTGCGGGTTTGCAGGGTCTGCAGGCCCTCGATGCGCTGCAGCAGGGCACGTTTCTTCATTGCATCAGCGAACCGAACTTCAGTGGTCACTTCGTTGTTGTACAGGGTTAAAGCAACACGGGCTCCTCTTGGACAGTTACTCTCGGAGATGGTGATGTCTCGGACTAGGCGCAGCACTGTGTCACGCATATTGTTGAAGGCCGGGCGACCGACACCTTCAGAGGCATCCAGGGCAAAGGCCAGCTCAGTGGGGTAGAGCGGGCATTCCTGCTGACCTAATGGTGTACACATAGAGCATTTTGTTCTCTGTAGAGTAGTGCGTACAGTACAAAATCATCTGTTATTATCTGAATAATACGATTTTTTGCACTTACCATAACAGCAAGCTGGTAGAAAGAAAGGAGGAAAACACGGTGAGACATTATTGTGTTACTGTACACAACACATGATTATCATTGCTTATTTTTGTTGTCGCGGAACAGCATTATTGGTACTTGTTGTCATACTTATTATTATACTTACGACAGTTTTCTCTGATCTTCTTAACGAGGTCACATTGCTGAGGACAAGCAGACATTTGGAGAAAAATGTTGAAAGATTTTGATCACAGGCACCAGCGATGACTTTTGCTCTGATCATTCAATACAATTTAAAACAATTTCATATACAAGCACATACCACAACTCCTGGTCCTCTCGGTCCTTTCTGACCCTATGGGGACAAAATCAGTTGTGTTGGAACAGCTGGACTTCACGAGAATAAAAATCTATTTCTTTTTTATACTTGTTTACACAACACCATTATTTCAGAGAAATAACACTAAGAACTTAACAAAATTACATTGTGTAGTATAAACAGTGTGTTATAAGTCTCTTTTTTGGGGTATTTTGTACTTTTATTTGACAGTGTGGAGAGAGACAGGAAATGTGGGGTGGGAGAGTAGAGGAATGACATCCAGCTATTGATCTGGCCAGCCGGGAATCGACCAGCGTTCTTGCTGCTCAGGGCAGCCTAACCATCAGGCCACCCACATCATGAGTTTGAGTGATGAGACTCCATGAGAAAACTCAATCTAAAGCAGACCACTATAGATAGTGTATATTGTAAATCAAAACTACAAATATTCTGCATCGGTGGCGTGTCATCTGAGTTTACTCAGCTTATAAGCGAAGGGTAGAATTTTATGTTGCTTACATATGGCCCAGGATATCCAAACTCTCCATTCTGTCCGGGTGTGCCAATATTCCCTGAGACACCCTGTAAAGAAAAAAGAGAAAAATAATTCACTTTAGTTCAAAAAGGAGCTTGACTTCAAAATATTTATGCTTGTAGACCACACACTAAAAATCTGAAACAAAACTTCCAAACCAGTCCTCTACCGTATCACACAAAACATATGTGTCCAGTGAGGCTTAGTGTTGGAGGATTTTGCCAAGTGATACCCTAAAGGTGTGTTACATTTACATTATATGCTCATTTTGGCCAAATCTAAGGAGGGTCTGAAAACGTACCCTCTGTCCAGGATTCCCTCTGCGTCCAGGTCCGCCCTTGGTGCCGGAGTCGCCACCTGCTCCCTGAAATGATGGAAGGACAGAGAATGCAAATAACCGGAATGTACTATAATTTCAGACTTCTGATGAAAGTTCACTTCCGGTGTCAAAATGTTCTATTACCTTTGGTCCTTGGAATCCTGGGAAGCCCACATCACCCTGAAGAGGAAAATGCATTAACACTATTATAATACATGGCATTCATTAAACAGTATTATTTGTGTCATTATTGTCCCATTGAATAAGTGTATAACTGCATTTATCTTGACATTTGTAATAGTGGTTCACTGAGAATGGCATCTTTACATGGGCCAGAGCCATGGAATTATTTTGTGCTGTTCAGCCCCACAGAAGGAATGTACTGTAGGCGTGTATAGGTAAAGACTTTATACGTCTTAATCGACAATTGGAGTTGGTCTATCAGCTATACAACTCCCTCTTATCATCATTCTTTTTACTTCTGTTTGTGATTTTAACATTCTCTTCATTCAATTTCTAAAATATCCCTGGATATTTGAGACTAAATCAAATTTTAAGGTTAACGTAAATCAAACTGAAGACACATCTTCTGATTACCATGCGCGCTACTAGAGGTCAGAATTCACTTGCCTTTCTTCCTGGAGGCCCTCCGATGCCAAACCCATCTCTACCATCTTCACCCTAGAGAGCAAACAAGAACAAAAACATGCAAAAACAATTGGTTCTCTTTGTAAAGTGCACTGAAATCAACTGCATACATGCTTGGTAGTTAAAAGGACCCCCCTCCTCTCCCCTTTATCCTAACAGAGCAGCATTGTTACGTTATAATATGTAATGTTATGGTACATTCAAGACAAGGAATGAAATCCTTCTCAGCAAAAACCCAAATTCCTTAATTAAAAACACAATGCATACACTTTCAGATATAAAAGTCACAGCGGCTTTAAATCACAAATTTGATGATTATCTAACCATCTACTGTATTTAAAATATAGACCATTGGTTCCATAAGCAACACTACCAACCATGTGAGTCTGATATCTTTTGAGGATGGAAATTTCTTATTTTGCTCCTTTTCACCAGTTTTACTTTATGGTACATGCAAAGTATATGTGGTTTCATTCTTACAGACTCTCCACGGGGACCAAGAGGTCCAATAACACCCTTGGGTCCTGGCTCTCCTGGTTCACCCTGCAAAGGCAAAGAGATAACCAGATACAGAGAATGAGACAGAGACTGAAAGATAAATAAAAAGAGAATGTCAAGTCATCAAATAAAGAGTGAGATATTTCTTTAGGGCACTTTCTATTGATTTAATTAAGCAACTATGCTTTTCATGCAGTAGATCCAAAGCACAGCCTTCATGTTTTCTTATCCTCATTTGTTTGCTCAAATAGACTACACATGTGTGTCTAGTATTGTGAGAGAGCTAGGATTAGGCCAGTGTGTTTATTAATATAACAAGTCTGTTATGGAAGAACATAAGTCACGCCAGATCATTTTCCCACTCAATACCTTGCGACTAAGAGCTCCTCTTCTACCCTTATCTCCACCGAGACCTGGACTACCTCCGGGACCCTAGGAAACAAAACATTAGGATGTTAGTCACATGATTTTCAGTCAGTTCAGAGAGTGTCCCATTGCAGTTCCGAAGTGTGGTAGACACAAGTTATTGCTTATTTGTGAAATTATATTTTAATATGTCTGCTCTGCGTGCTCTATTAGGCATTTTACCATTTAAAACTGATGCTGGTTGTAAATGTGAGCCATAAATATATATGACTTGACATAGCAAAATATTTTCTTTAATAAAATAAACAGGTACACTCACTCTGGGTCCAGGGTTTCCATCTTCTCCTCTGGGTCCTGGTGCACCGTTTGGTCCCTGTGGACCCTTAAAAACGACAAACCAAACATCGATGATGCACCAGTTTCTTGCATATCAGAGTTGGACTTCCAACCCTCAAGTAAAAAATGAACACACATCTCTAGATATAAACATCAGTCAAAGTCCAGTCAAAACTATTTGTTATATTGCTGATGCTGCCATGAAAAGTATTAATGGTAATGACAACAACCAACATAAAACATGCTTTGGCAAGTGCATTTGTAGATTGAATAATCTGCCAATTGCCGTGAAAAGAATGACAAACTTACTCTTGATCCTCCTATACCAGCTTCTCCCTGAACACCATCAGCTCCTGGCTTTCCGGGATTACCCTTAAAAGTCATGAGCGCAGCAAAATGTTATTACCATTACAAGAGTTACTGCAATACGAATTAAACAATGTATGTTATCACCAAAAAGGGACTTACAGCCTTTCCAGGCGGGCCTCTTCTGCCACCAGCTCCCTAATGAAGTGGGAGCAGAAATCTTGATTAACAAAAAACAGTGGCAAGTCAGTATTTAGCAAAGACAATGAAGATGTGGTAAGATTGTTTACCCCTCTTCCGAGTTCACCGGGGCCTCCCTTCTGTCCATCCTCACCAGACTCTCCCTGTCATGTCAGAGCAGATATCACAATAAAACAAACGCATACAAACACAACCAACCATGTCATGTTGAAAAATGCATTGGCAGGATTGTTTTTCTATAACAATACAATGTGTGAAGAGGGACATTACCGCTGGACCAGCATCACCGGGGTCTCCTTTAGGTCCTTCGCGGTCGTTATCTTTTCCACTTGTACCCTATTAGACAGATATTCCTTTTTCAATTTTCAACTACATTCAAACACTCTAAAACACAGACCAAGAACGTGTTCCTATGTCTACAAACTACCTGGGACAACAATGGCATGCTGAGGGAGGGATGCACATACTAAATTATCAGACACCACAATCTGTTACTGCTGGCCACTGTTGGGAGCCCAGCTCAACGGCATAAAGATAGTGGCCAATAAGGAATGGATGAATATAACTTCATGACTCAATCCAAGCTGGTCTGGAAATTCTTAACAGGTTATTAGTCATTTTGACTCTATGTTCATGTACTGTGTGTGCATGCAAACACATTTACAAACAATCGAGTAATGCACATAACATTCCTCAATAATCTGCCCAAATCAGTTCAATAATAATGTTTTTATTGTTTAACACAATACGTTGTTTGATTGATTCAGACATGACAATGTAAATGGCACTATACCCAGTTTCCATAATACTCACAGGGTCTCCTCTGATTCCCATTTCTCCTCTGTCTCCTCCTTGTCCTTTGGTACCTTTGGGACCCTAAAAGCAGTAAATATGCTTAGTGAGCATTTATCAGCACTAACCATTTGAGATTTTTAAAGAACAAAAGCTTTTCTAAAGCTAAAATTGCATCTAGTCACTCACTCTCCAGCCAGGGTTTCCGCTCTCTCCCGAGGGTCCAGCCACTCCACTTTTACCCTGAAAACATACAGCAGATGCCAATTAAACCCCACAATCATGTTCCACCAGTTCACACTCACATGTGTTTGCCACATGAACTCATTGGTGCCACACAGCTTAAGACGAGAAGCAACCATATATGATTCTGTTTGATTTATTACATATTAAAGAAATGGACTTAAAATCTAATACAACAGAGAACTTACGTCTTCTCCATTGATTCCATCAAGCCCAATTTCTCCAAAGTCTCCCTGCAACACAGGGATTAGCCGTTGGTTAATCAGTAGCCTTTTTTATTTGATCTAATAATGGAGACTTTGAAGAAAGTAAGAAAAAATACTCACCTTTTCTCCTGAGTACCCACGAGAACCCTGAACAAAAGAAAAAGATAGTGTCACACCACTGTATTAAATAAATCAAAAAAATAAAATGAGTTGAACGTTACAGTTCATATCAAAGCCTTTACCTTTACACCTCTTTGTCCAGGACATCCCTGGAAACCCTGAGTTCCATTCACACCAGGAGGACCTCTCTCTCCCTGTCATTACAGGACAATAAAAAAGACAATGAAATACTGTGACAAAATATAGGAGGGATGCAATATGAAGGAACATAAAGTGATGGGGGGGAAAAAAACATTGAAAGTACATCTTGAAACCAGAAAATATGATTAAACAGCAGTTATAGATCATGACAGTTTACAGCAGGTGTCTGAAAGGTTCTCATGGAAAAAATGTCAGACTGTTATTACATATGTAAGAAAGATCTTCAAACTTACAGGTCCACCCTCATCTCCAGGATGTCCTTGGCTTCCTGGAGATCCTGGAGCACCCTGAAAGACAAAACAATAAAGTATTAGCCTCTGATAAACAATTATTGTCCGGCATAATTAAAGGCAAGATCTCAAAAAATATATATTTTCTATTCTTTTTGACATTGACTACCTTAGTTGCTGAGAGTCCAACTGCTCCTCGGTCTCCTCTGGTGCCACTGCATTTGCATGGCACTGCACAGCACTCCCTCTCTGCAATATTGTCCTGCGCAGCAAAATAAAACAAATATTGAGTGATTCAAGAGGAAAATAAAAGCTCATGAAAGTCTTTCGTCTCACTGATTAGTACTCACCAGTTCTTCCATTAGCTCATAGTCCAAGTCCATGATATTGAGTCGTAAAGGTCTGGTGTACCTGAATCCCCGACCAAATTCCAGCAGCAAAGCTTCCTCAAAGTTGGGCACCCGCTCCAGCCCGACCAGGATGAAACTGTTCACTCCTGTTTTACAGATATTCAGGAAAATGAATTACTTCTGAATATAATATTGTTATAATTTCCCAGAGGTTTAAGGATAAATAGCCATGAAGGGCCATTTGTACGATATCATCTTTTTACCTGACAAATGAAGCTCGTCAACTCGCTTTTTCAATTCATCGAATGGGCTGTCAATACCATCAGTAAGATGAACGATAACCTTAAGGGGAAAAACACATTTCAGTTCCTGTTTTTCTGGTCATGATCCCGATCCAAGCACTTTAATATTAGGTATGTGCGGATACAGATTCAAACCTACACTTTTATGCATCTAAATGTCGATTAAATATTTATCTGACAATTAGAAATAACAGCTGTGGATTTCTAAAGTTGGATCAACGTATTTTTCATGAGCAAATTTATCTAAATACTAAAGGTTCTCGTTCAAAACTATTAAATTGATTATCTTAAATTGATATGATATGAATGAAGAGTAACTCGGGGAATACGAACTGACTTGACACAATCCGCTAAAGAGGAGAAATATTACTCTGTTGTTGGAACCAAAGAAACACTCAGTCTGCTCTGATTGTACAGTGTGAAAGAAGAACCTCCACTCTGTAACAACAAATTATCTTTGACAAGTACAGAGACAGCCTTACAGAGAATAATTTCAGCAGAGAATGGGCAAGTTTCACTTTGGCCAGCCATCATGTTACTCACAGAATTAATGTTAATTAGCAGCTGATATGACCAGCCATCGACAATAGCAACAGCCAGTGCTGGCTAAAAATGAATACTGCTACTTGGATGTTTTGTACACTGCCCTTTGCTAATGAGAAAGAGATAGTTAAGGTTGGATATTAGAAATATTATGTTTTTTTTGCAATGTCATTTTGGCTTGGGACATTTCTAAATTAAACGGATTACGTAACCAACCTTGACAACGTCGTCCTGTCTGGTTTTGAACCTATTGGTGTAAGCTGAGATGGTCTTGCCATTGAGGACAAAGGGGCCACGACTCTGTAGGGCTTTGAACTCCTCAAAGAGCGTATCAGCCTTGTCTGTGAAGTCCAGCTGGATGGGCTCAGAGGCTGAGTCTAGGGCCAGCATGCCCACTTGCACAGAGGGAATCTGCCCAGATGAGCAACTGATAGCTGCCATTTTGGAAATTCTTTTCAGAATGGCATCAACCTTCATCCGGAGGTTGGTCTGAGCACTGAAGATGTCCTGGGCAGAAACATCAAAGCCCACCAACACCTCTATGCTGCAGGCTGTAAAACAAATCATGGCATTTTTGTGTGAACCACAGAAAACATGGGGAAACTGAAATGTAATTACAAGTTGCAAATTAAATGTGTACAAGGTCCATTTGCAAGTAAACAGTAATGCCATGTCTCTTACTTTTAGAAGGTTCCTGCACACCAACACACAGACTCCCTTTCACTTCATCATCCAAAGTCTCCAGGATTTGCTCATTGAGCTCTGAGAGTTCCAGAAAGGTGCGTGCTCTAGCCACAGTGGAAGACTCACTTGCTAAGTCTTCTAACTCATTCTCAATGTCGCCCACTCCTACAGCAAATACTCTTACACCTTTTTTCTTCAGACCAAGGGCTGCTGATTTGCCATCATCAGCTGAGCGTCCTCCAGTGAGAACCATTAGGATCTGAGGAGTGCCCTCATCCGTCCTGCTGCCTTTTTCTTTGGTAAAGTGAACATCTTGAACGTGGCGAATGGCTGCACCAGTGTTGATTCTACGTCCACCTTTGTACTCTGCTCGGACAATGGCACTTAAAATGTCCTGCCTGTTCTGGTATGTATTGAGATAGAAGACATCAGTCACATCTGTGGCATAATGTGCCAGGCCGATCCGCAGGTTGTCTCTCTCGTTGAAGAACAGATCAATTAGGTTGTTAATAAACAACATCACTTCATTGAAGTGTTCCCTGCCTAAGTTAATGGAGCCATCTACCAAAAACACTATATCAGCTTTTTTGGGTGGAGGCAGGCCGGATGCTATGAGAAGGAAGATAAGATATTGATGAGGACAGGGTGAAAACAAAAGAAGAACTTGAGAAAAATGTATTCAATATATTTTAGCATTATTAGACCATATTTAGGTAAACTGTGTTATCTAAGTATCTGTTATATGTATAAACGTTTTTTACAAACCTGTGGGTGGTTCCTCTGTAATGGTCCCACTCAACCTGTCAATAACCCCTGGCTTGATTGCTGGCAAGCCAGGGAAGTCAGCAACCTGGAAGACATCAGCTGAGGTGGTGGCTATTTGGGTTAGCTGCCTTGTGTCGGCATTACCAGCTCCAACACCAATGCAGTTGACTCGGGCACCCTTAAGCAGAGGTCCATAGATGGAAACATCTTGGGGGGAACGTCCACCTGTGAGAACCACAAGATGCTGGGAGGCCTCTTGACGAACTCCTGCAGCAGGTTTTAACTCCCTCTGTATAACATACTCAATGGCATCAGCCAGATTTGAAGACCGGCCACCAATCTGACGAAGTCTTTTGGTGGCAGAGACAACAGCTGGCTTGTTGTTGTGAGTGTTGAGTGAGAACTCTGTTTTAACTCTATCTGCATACTGGACAATCCCAACACGCACTTGATCAGGCTGCACGTCGAGTTGTTGGACAATGTTGAGGATGAAGTCACGGATATGCACAATGCCTTCAGAACCTGTAGTGTCTGAGCCATCAATAAGGAAAATGATGTCCTTTCTCCCAAGATTTAAATTGTCTGCAAAATAAGCACAAAAAAGAGAAAGGGAGGTATAGTTTATTTTGAAATTTATTAGAAAAGGAATTATGCATTTAAAAAAAAACCTCTACCACTATAACTCTTTTTTAATTATATGAGCAATGTAAAACAAATAATGCATATTTCAGTTACTGTTTTGAACATTTACATGTTGAAGTTAACTTTAACTGAATACATACAAAAGTATTTCTTACCTAAGTCCACTGACGGACGAACATAACTCCTAATGATGTCATCGGTGGATATTGTTTGGACTGAATCAATGAGCTGCGACTCCACTCTTGGAAGCTGCTGGAAACTGTCAACTGTATATACCAGTTCAGGCTTCAGGGAAATCTGTCTCAGTTCATCAGGGTCGGCATTTCTTGAACCAATGGCAAGAGGTGCAACCTGGTTTCTCTTAAGTTGTTCAGCTGCAGCGGATACATCATCTGTAGACTTGCCACCTGTAACTAGAATGAGGAACTGGGGCACACCATCCTCAATGCGGCTTCCCGCTGACCTCTGGTAGATGTTTCTATAGACCCACTCAAGAGCACGACCTGTGTTTAGACGGTCCCCACCTTTGCTTCGAAGTTTCGTCACAGCCTGGCGTACCTCATCTTTGGTGGAGAATTCATTCAGAAGAAATTCTAGCTTCGGTGCATCACTGTACTGTACCACTGAAATTCGGACCTTATCCAATCCTACATCCAGCTTCTCCACAACTCTTCTTATCATTTCACGGATGGAAGGGAACTCACTACGCACCGCTGTGGTGCCATCTATCAGAAATACAACGTCCCTCTTTTCTCCTCCTGTGGGTGCTGCTGTGATTACTGCTCAAAAAGAATGCAAGCACAGCAATAATTTGTGATTATTAACTTCAGAGTTTCTATTATATATAGAGAACATGCAGTATGACTGAAAGAGTCAAATATTGTTTCAGAGTAAGTCACAACAAGACCAACATATACTGTAGTAAGGTATGTAGGGTGGGGTGTGTGAAAATGAATTTAAACTGAAAATCTGAATTTAAACAATTTAATTGAGTAAAATTACCATCAATGGTTGGGAATACTGGACGCATCCTGGTGATGTCATCATCTGACAGCTCGGTGAGAGTGGTGATTAAGTTTTCTTGGACTGTGTACAGGCCAGGAAGGTCATCGATAGTGAAGGCAAAGTTAGGCACGTATGACACCACCTGAAGCTCTCTAGGGTTAACATCCCTGGTCCCGATGCTGAAGGGAAGAACTCTAGATTGTTTGAGGGAAGATGCTGCACTACTGATGTCATCTGTTGAAGATCCACTGGAGACGACAATTACAAACTGCGGTACACCCTCTTGCTTCCTGCTACCGCGTGTCGCTGTCAGAACATCCTGACTGACGAACTGCAAGGCCTGACCCAGGTTACGTTGTCTTCCTCCTCGCTGCCTCATTCCCCTGACGGCTTGCAAAACACCTTCTTTAGTTGTATGTGTGTTCAGAAACATGTCAGCTTGAGCAAAGTCACCATACTGGACGACACCAATCTGTATCTTATTCTCGCCCACATTGAGACTCTCTACAACCTTGCGGATAAAGTCCTGGATGATAGGAAATTCCCGTCCAACACCATCAGATCCATCAACAAGGAAAACAACATCCTTCCGGGGGCCTTGCATCGCAGCTGAAAGACAGAAAAGGTAATATTGTTATAACCTAATTGAGAAATGATCAAAATATGGAAGAAAAGGTTGATAGAATATTACAGCAGCAATTATACACCCATGTTTGATAGCCTCTTAACAGATTGTTGGACTCCTTCTTGACTTGTTAACATAGTGAAAAGTTTAGCCCATAATTTGTTCCCAAACAATTTGTGGTAATCTGATGCATATTCAGGAGGCCATTTATATTTTCTCCAAACTTTTTCTCTTTCTCTTTCTCTTCCTCATTAAATGAGGACCTTGTAGACTGTGGGAAAGAATGTCTTCTTACGGCATGAAATTTGGATAAAAATGAATGAAAGTTAAATTAGTTGAAAATAGCAATGAGACATAGAGAATGTAACGGATGGCAGAATAAGCTTGTCACATCCAGCCTACATCTCACAACTTCAATTTTTGTCACTGTATACTATAAATCATTTACACAGAGAAGTCTGAGCCAGCCAGCAGGTAGCCAGATCAATTTTCTCACACTAACAAATTCTAAAACTTGTGAACCCACTCAAAATGTAAGTGCTGTAGTTATAAGCTGAAGGACTCAGCAAGTACAATATGCTGCTGCTGTGATCTTAGCAGGAACTGATGATAACATCAATACAAAACTTACATTTTACCTACTTTGCAATAGCTGCTTGTGTGCATTAAGAATGATCTTATGTTAATGCAAGATCTATTATATCAGGTATTCCATCTTCTGTATCTATGAGCTAGAGCTAATTCTTCGTAAACAACAACCATCTCCATAGTCTAAACTGGCTCCAAAAGTATATGGAGGTCCCAGATCTTAAATGCTTTACTTTATTTTTATTGTATTGTATCAGCATTATACTTGCTATTTTCTGCTGTTGTATATTTTTCATTTACCATGACAAGGGAAAATTTCTGCTGAATGAAAACTTTCTAATCCATGACAAAAAAAACACAATATTTTTCTCGTATAAATTAACACTTGTAAACATTATAATGTTCCTTTAATTTGAATAGGGGAAGAACTTTGTGTTGTTACTTTTCTGGACTTCAGTCCCTATTATCAGTGCAAGGAAACATTATTTATCTTGTCTATATCCCATTGTGCATCAATTAAAAACAAAATTAGCAAATAGAAATGAAAAGAATTTTGGATGGTCATTTCAAAGAACTGCTTAAATGTGGAAGTACAGGCTTCTTGATAATGTGACGAGAAATTTAAATAATATTAAAATTGTTCTTTTCTCGATAGAAAATAATTTTACTAAGAGATTGACACAAATGGTGGATGTGAGTACCAATATAAAAAAATCTAAAAGGGAGAATAGGAATATGATTAAAAAGAACATTATGAATATAAATAAGATAAGAAGAAAAGAAGAGAAAGGAAAGAATGCCACCAAAGATATCCTTGTGTGAGTTTGTGAAAATACTCATTGTTTTCTTTGTTTGAGACTCAGACTCAAGAATGTCTTTAGATCAAGTATAGATTCATTGATGAAGAGCACAGACTTTTTGAATGTAAACTTTACTTGACCAAAAGGAAGTCCTTTTTTCTAAGCCAAACACATTTGGGCGAGTTCTCTCTATAAAATGACAGATAATAATACATTAAAAACAAATTATTACAATATACTAAAACATCAGCAGCAGTATGTGCAAAAGGACTGGGTGAAGTGTAAAGTACACAAATAATAATGAAGGAAGGATCCCTTTCCCAGGACTGAAAAGACGTGGCAAAATGGATGTTAACAAACTGCTGATGAAAACTGATATTTTAAGACTCAGTCACTTTCTCACCAGTTACTGTTGGAGTCACGGGCGTGGCCCTCAGTAGCACTGTGCTTATTAGAGAGAGGAGCTGTTCTTGGACATTCTGGAGGTCAGTGAACTCAGACACTGAGAGAGT